CCACCTGCAGACAGGGAACTGCTCAAAAAGATCTTTCAGTTCCAAGTGGGAGATTCTGCTGGCTGCTCAGAGGCCCCTTCAGCTGCCCCACCCCCGCGTGGTAGGAGAGCTAGAGAACTAGAAACCCCAGGGCAGCCTGAACCCTTACTCCAAGGGATGGGGGAGTGTTTTTCAGGGAGTGCCCCATCCTACCAGGAGCTGAATGGGGAGAGAGAGGGAGGCACTTCTCTACAGCCTGGATGGTGAGCCTTAGTGTTCCCCAGAGTCAGAAGTTCCTGAGAGAGGAAGAGGGTGGCCAATAAGAAGCAGGAAGGGGACAGGGAGAAGATGGAAGCCTCCGCTGCTCTATTCCCTCCTGCTGCCTCCCCAGGCCTCTGGGGCCTCCCTAGGGAGTCCCCACCAAGGGAGTGTTTTGTCTTCACAGCCAAACCTATAGTTACCTGGTGTCCAATTCCTGCCTTGGGCCCCCAGGGCCCCTCTAGATAGCATGTTTGCTAGCAGGGGAGAAGGAAAGGGAATGGTTGGTGGCAGGCTCTGGGCTATGCATTAACCTTAAAATAATCTCTCTGGTGGGCAGTCACCAGAAAATTACAGGAGGGGTGATTCATGCCTAGATCTGTCTGATGGCTAAGCCCACACTCCTCCCATGCTCAACTCAGCCTCCTGGATCAGAGTGGCCAGGTAGAATAGAAACATTGCATGGGACCTGCTTATACCAAACAGTTATTACTTATTTATCTGAAATTAAGACTTAACTGGGCATTGCCCTGGGCATTATCCCATAAATATTGGGATATTTATGCTAAAATTATTTGTTATTTATCTGAAATTCAAATTTAAATGGGCAGCGTGTATTTTTATTTGATATAACTGGCAATGCTAGCCTGGGTCTATGTCCCACACCTGAACCCACCTGGCCTGAGGAAAACTCCTGGGTCGCTCACTTGCCCCAGATGAAAATAAAGGTCTGAACGATTTCTTCTATATGCTCATCCTCACTCCCCACTTTGCTTCATTATCTGCCTTTGGCATGTCCCTGTCCCCAGGTGTCAGGAACAGAGCTAAGAAGATCTCCCCCACCCCACCCAAGCCTGCTTCATCACACCACTCCAAAAGCTCTGTGAGCCATGGCAGGAGGGAGACAGATTCTCCCTGACACAGCAGAAAGAGGCCTGGAGGCTCAGGCCATCCAGCCCTCTCCCTGGAGAGGCTGAGAAAGCAAGGCCCCTGTCCTGAGCCAGTGGAAGGTAGCCCCTGCCTGCTAGAAGTGGCCCTTCCCAAGCTCTCCTGCCTGTGTGTTGCACAAAATACAAGAGATGGACTGAGATGGACTAACCAGGCCCAAAGGTTGTGCGTGTGAGTGTGCACATGCCTGCGGGCAGGCAATGGCATGTACTCATACATACACATATGCACAGAAGAGGCAACTTCCAAATGGCCTTGGAGCTCCCGGAACAGAAGATCATTTGTGTCCTTGCCTGACTGGCCTCCTGCCTGCATCTACTGGGGGCGTCTTCTCAACTCAGCCATACCCTCTGTCCTAATATCCCAGGCTTTCTCAAGTGGGTGAGCAAGTTCTCGCCTCCCCTCGTGCACCTCAGCACCAGCAGCATGTCATAATAGTGAGAGACTTGGATTTGGGTGTTAACAACTTGGGTTCACACCCAGCTTTGTGGCTTATTAGCTGTGTAACCTTAATCTCTCTGTAAAGTGGGGCTAATCTGCAGGGGGTGTCCAACCTTTTTTTTTCTCTGCCACAGATTAGGAAAGTAAGCATTGTCTTGGGCTATACAGGAAATACACAAATATTAACAAAAGCCGATCACTAAAAAAGAGTCCACACATACTTTTTTTTTTTTGGCCGGGGCCAGGTTTGAACCCACCACCTCCGGTATATGGGGCTGGTGTCCTGCTCCTTTGAGCCACAGGCACCGCCCAATCCACACATACTTTTTATGATATCTGACACCACAGATAAACAAAAACATCCTAGAGTAATCAAATCTAAGCACAACAGGACCAGCTGAGTACTAACCACCAGAGGAAAGGGACTTCCTTGCCACATTCAGTATTCTAAGGTCATTGGACCAGAGTATCAGAAGCCTTCGAAAACCTGGCTCAGTGCTTTAAAAACATTAAAGTGCTTATGAATTAATGAATCACTTGGGAGTCAGGTCAAAATCCAGTTTCTGATATAGTAAGTCTGGGGTGGGGCTTATGATTCTGGATTTCTACCAAGCTTCCAGCTGTCAGTCCATGAGCCACAGACTGAGAAGCAAAGACCTAGACTAGAGGAAGATCAGATATATTCTCTGATGCCTCAGTGGGGTGGGATGATGGGGCCACCATGACCACAATGGGATGATGTAACTGTAGGCCTCCGTGATAGGATGATAGATGATAGATATGAAGGGGCAGGAGTGAGGTGTCCTGGGAGCATTCCAGGTTGGTATAGAAATCAGTGAGGTACATAAACATGGTGACTTTGGAGTGTGCTGATGATATAGCGAAACAGTTAGAGTTATATACTTTGAAGCCAGTTGTCTAGGTTTGAATCCTAGCTCTGCCACTTCCTAGATGTATGACCTTGGGCAGATTGCTTAACCTCTCTATACCTCATTTTTCTCATTTGCAAAATATCAACCTCACAGATTATGAAAAACAGTGGTTTAATACGTGTAATACTCTTAGAACACAGTGTGTTCTGAGTAAATGAGGGCTTTAACCACATAAGAAGTTAAGATTCAAAGAATATAAATGTCTTAACACAATAACTAAGAAAAATGCCGTGAAGGCTACGTTGACCAGTTTGATGAAAGCATTTCAAATTGTATGTAAAACCAGCACATTTTACCCCATGATTGCATTAATGTACACAGCTATGATTTAATGAAAAAAAAAGAAGAAGAAGTTAAGATTCAAACATTGAGGTTTGAATCCAAAAATAGAGTTTGAATTCAATCGTGGCATTGAGGGTCATTCACAGTGGCTCTGCTCTCTCAAGGTCAAGGCCCAGACAAGGCTGTTCTACCTTCTAAGGGTCAGGTGATAAGGATGTTAAAGAGAATGAAGCTCTTTTGAGAGAACATCAGGCCCGTGGCTAGCTACACATGCCATTCCCTCTGCTTGGAACTCTTTCCCCACCTCCTCCCCTGACTGTTCCTACTTGGCCACCAGTTCTCCACGTAAGCATGACTTTCTTCTGGAGGCCTTCTTTGTTGCTTTGGACCAGGTGCCCATGGCCCCATACTTCCCCTGTCATAGTGTTGCTTTGTGAACAGCCGTCTTCTTTTCCCACTGGATTCCCCTGAGGAAGAAGCTTCTTGGTAGCTGGTGTTCTTGGAACACTGCCTTTGGGGCAGAACTATGGCAAGGGCTTTCTATGTGGGTGCCATCCTCCTCTAGCTTCCAGGTGTAGCCTTTCTGAAGGAGGTGAGTCACGTTCCTGTCTGTGCCTAGGAACACGTGAGGCATTCTTTAGCATTCCAAGGTCTCACCCCACACCTTATGACCCGCACTATCCTGGGGAAGGGCTTGGGAATTTATATTTTCACGAAGCTTCCAGGTGATCCAGCCACAGACAGACCATCAAGGGTATGACAGAGCCATTGGAAGGCCATGTCCAGGGTGACAGGCTTTGCCAGCAGAGGGCACTCAGCTGAAGAGTTTTTGGTCCCATCAGGTCCCGTTTGATGTGGGTGGAAAGTCTTTCCTAATTGCAGCTTTCAAGGGGCATATGGTCAATGTGCTTTCACACCCAAGACTGAAGTGTTGGGCCATCTCCCCACAGTGAGCTGGGGACTTTCTCCCAATGGGGCTTGAGGCTCATAACAGGGAGAGCACTGGTGAAATGCTCAGGGAAGAGAGAGAAGCACTAGCGGACCTTTTGCAAGCAGGCTTGTACTGGGAGTGAAAGAAAATCTCCCTGTCCCATGCTACTGGTCCCATCAGTTCTCTTTTAGGTTCAGGATTATGGGGCTGTCAGACCCTTGTGGATTGGGCTGGGGTTTCCTTCCTTGGCTTAAGTGCCTTATTCCTGTGTGGGAGAATCATGGCTCAGTGCTAAGCCCCTTTTGCTAAGATAGTAAAGTCCAGGAGTAGATCCATAGTTATGGATTAGTTCGTATGGGTCCCTTGGTACCAGCTGCATTTAGTAATAGGGTTTCAGCCTAAGTTCCAGACCAGGAGGCAGAGATAGTAGCATACTGATCAAGAATATCATGTCTTGGACAGAACTATGAAAAGCTAAGATGGGAAGTCTCCTTGTTTTGCTGAGCTGTAAAGATCTTTCAGGGCACACATTAGTAATTACGTAGAATTCTACCACTGTAGAATCTGTGGTTATGCACAGAAAGGATCAGTCACCATGTGTTTGCCTATTCTGAGAAGCAGCTAATCAAATACTTCAACTGTGGATGACCAGAGGACATCAAAGGAACAAGAAGCTCTAGGACTTTGTCAGGAGCCCCTTGGTTCCTGGGTCCTTGAACAAGGAAAGGGTAGCACTGGGGTTAGGCAACAGGGAATGGGTTACATTTCTGGGGAGGATTTTTCTTTGATATGGTCCAGAAGAAAGATAGTTCCCTCTGCTAATGCTGGAACATCTCTATTAAACAGTCTTGGAATCCACAGGGCAGGGAAGGATAATATCACACCCAGAGCAAGAGAACTATGGCATAGATTTGGTTGCCTGAGGTTGTGGGGGGAAATACTGGTTATCTACAAATGGGCTATGAGTTCAAATTTGGGTTTGAGAGGAAGAGTTGGGGATCATAAAATAGAAATGTTTGGTATAAAGGGTCAAGAATTATAAGTTGGAATGGAGGCCAAATATGGGAACATGAAGAGGTGGGGATACAAGATAAGTGGTGGCCAAGACCCAGTCTCAGTCCCAGGGAACCTCAAAGGCCCTGTTGGGGGCCTGGCTGGCCCAGTCTAGCCCTAAAGGTTGGTCTGCATCTTGCCCTGGATTGATCCCTCTCCATCCTCTCTTTCACCAGGCGCCTAGATGCCAACCTCATCTCCTTGGTCCCGGAGAGGAGCTTTGAGGGGCTGTCCTCCCTCCGCCACCTGTGGCTGGACGACAATGCACTCACGGAGATCCCTGTCAGGGCCCTCAACAACCTCCCTGCCCTGCAGGCCATGACCCTGGCCCTCAACCGCATCAGCCACATCCCTGACTACGCCTTCCAGAACCTCACCAGCCTTGTGGTGCTGTGAGTGCGGCTCTGTCCCCCATCCCTAACCGGGTCCTGCTGGGGCTGGGGGCTGCATGGTGACTAGCTTTGCTCTTTTCTGCATGTTGCTGAACCTTCTGGTCTCAGTTTCCCCTTTGTAAAAAGATAAAGGTGACCATTCCCTGTTGATTCCCATAGGTTACCATGAGATCAAATGACATGCAAGCTATAGAAGTGCTCTGAGATTTGCTAAAGGACCAGGGTAACTATAATCAGAAAATAGGAATTAAGCTATTATTTTCTTGCTATATAAATATAATAACTATACCATGCTAATTGGAATATAAATCAAGAATTTCTTGTGTAATTTTCACCATATTTGACAACCAAATAATGCAGTCATACACTTTGGCACAGAGATAGGACAAATTCTTCTCGTTTCCTAGGCCTGAAGAAGCAGAGAAAAAGCCATCACTTATAATTAGACAGCAAAGCCCCATCAGGGTAATTACCTGGGAGATAGCATCCCTGGCAGGAATTGGGGACTGGGGTTAACACTGCCTTCCCAGTGGGAACTTTAGAGTGCAAATTAGCTCCCAGCTAATTGCTATGAATGATTGGTAAGTTCATAGGGTAATTACTAAGGGCTTGGAGGTCATTTGTAATTGCTTTGGGTTACACACTAATTGCAGCAGGAACAAGGCTCGAGAACATGCGTGTTAGTGACTCTGTGAAATGGTAACATTGCCTCCCCTGGTTTTGGAAATCTGGTGTGATTTTCTGAGGGAAGGAATAGGTGATGCTTAGCTCTACTTGAGAAGTGCAAAGGCAGGGATCAATTTGCTTAATTCTCTGTTCCGGGAGATTGGAAAACCAAGATGAATATCCCTGTGGACCACATTCTTCTATTAGGATGACCACAGCCTCCCTTCTCTTGGGAGTCAATGGGAGGATTTGTAAAGGGTAAACAGAACAAGGTGGTTGGCTCTAGCTTTGGAGCTATCCCTGTGACTTCAGGAGGGAGTGGGGTCAGGTCTCTGTGAGGGACAAGATTACTGGAAAAATGAGAACTTCATGATGGGTTTGAGGCAAATGAACAGCAAAAGGCCATTTATAGAGCCCTCATGTGGCATACTGAAGACAAAATAAGTATAAGATGGTGACTGCTATCAGGGATCTAACAGTCTAGTTGAAAGAGCAGAATAAATAGGGGGACAAGAACTGGCTCAGCACCTGTGGCTCAAGCGGCTAAGGCGCCAGCCACATACACCTAAGGTGGCGGGTTCAAATCCCCAGCCCGGGGCCCGCCAAACAACAATAATGGCTGCAACCAAAAAATGGCTAGGTGTTGTGGCGGGCACCTGTAGTCCCAGCTACTTGGGAGGCTGAGGCAGGAGACTCGCTTGAGCCCAGGAGTTGGAGGTTGCTGTGAGC